TTATTGCAGTGTTGCATTAGAGGAAAATACTAGGGAGCATGACAGCCTGAGTACTAAACGAAACAAATAAAAAGTGATTTAAGGACTTACTAAACTGAACAAGTGGTAGGTGAATGTCTGGGAATGGGAAGGCTTAGGAAAATGTTTTAAGGTTTTTCCAGTTCTGAGAGCTTTGATTCTTTGAATCAGTATGTATAGATTTATTTATTTTTATACCAGGGATTGGACCCACAGCCTTCACACTGAGCTGTGTCCTGAGACCTTTTATTTTTATTTTGAAGTGTTCTTTTTTTTTTTGTGAGACAGGGTCTTGTTAACTTGTTAACATTGCCCAGGGTTGGTTAGAACTTGCAGTCCTCCTGCCTCAGCCTCCCGGAGTTCTGAGATTACAGGGATGCACTACCACGCCTGGCTTGAATTTGGGTTTTCAACATGAAGTAAGTCAGGATATACTTAAAGCAGGGACGTTCCCTGGGTTTTGTCAGCAGAGAAGTGCAGTGGAAATTGACAGCACACCCAGGTGCTCAGTATCGTGGTAGGTGCGGGGATAACTGCTGTTGATAATGCTGTGAGCATTTGGCAGTTGTGTGTGTGTGTGTGTATAGTTTCTATCTTGTACATATAATTTGGTTGCCGCTTTGTTCACCTGATTTTGTCAATTTCATGTTCTGTGATCTTATAGAAAATTGCCTTTCCTGTCTTGGTTGCTTCCTCAGGAGGAACTCCTCCAGTAGAAGTGCACGCATTCCAGGCAGTTTCCACCTGTCTCCACGGCGCCTGCAGTGGCACTGCCTGCCGGTTTCCGGGTGGTGCTGCAGCGCCCTCTTCCTCCTACCTCTGCAAAGTCCAGTTCTATTGAAAAGTAGCGTTGCCAGTCTGATAGAAGAAACACTGGTTTCTGCTTTTATTTTGTATTTTCTTGGATCACGCAGACTGAAGTTTTTGTGTAGTTGCTGATCAATTGTTTCTTCTTTTGTAAACTGCTTGCAAATTTGCTTTTTTTTTTTTTTTGAGTCAGAGCCTCACTGTAGTTCAGACTGGCTTTGAATGCACTGTAGCCCAGACTGGCCTTGAACTCAAGGTGATCCTCCTGCCTCATCCTCGTGAATGCTGGGATCACAGGGGTGCACCACCATGCCCAGTTGCAAATTTGTCTTTTGTCCATTTCTTCTCTCTGGGATTTTAAGTGTGTTTTCTTATTAGCATACGTTAATTTCTGAGAATTTTTATATTGTAAGGCTGTAAGTCCTTTTTCTTTAAGTGCTGGAGATTGAACCCAGGTTGCTCTGTCACTGAGCTCCAACCCCGCACTTTTCACTTTTTATTTTGAGACGGGGCCTCACAAAGTCCTATCTCAGCCCCCTGAGTAGCTGGGATCACAGGCATCCGAGCCTGGCAGACTGAATAATTTGTCATGTTACAGACACCTGTCCTAGATTAATACTTGACTTTGATGTTTGTGTGTGATATTCAGCCTTATTGTTTTTCTTGAAGGAAAGGCAGGACTGTATTTTATTGATTCTGTGACATACAAGCTCTTGCACTTGAGTCCCTTTGGAATCAGGTGTCATTTATCCTGTGTGCTGTGGTCTCGGTTGAGTAAGAGTTGTCGTCACCTGTGCATACAGCCGTGGTGGTTGTTCCTGGTGGCATGATGGGAAGCTTCCACCACAGCCCCGGTGCCTTAGTCTGCATGTTGTTTAAGGGCCACAGAGAAAGGAGCACAAGTCCTCACTGCTGTTCAGAAACTACCTGTTGATGTTGATGCCTCTTTTTTTTTTTTCCAGTTTTGAGACAGGGTTTCACTAATTACCCAGACTGGGCTCATAGTTGTGATCCTCCTGCTTCAGCCTCCCGAGTGCCGGAATTACAGGTGTGTGCCACCACGCCAGCTTATCGGTGCCTTCTAATGGGATTAGGAAAGAGCCAGTATTAAGACTTACACAGTTAGCAGCCATGAGTTGGAAGAAAACTTCTTTAAGTGTCGCCAGCACCCTTGGTGCTGCCCGCGCCGTGCACGTGGGTTCTGTGTGGACACTGACTTCTTCTGAAAGTGAAAACCAAACAATTTCAGTTCTCTTTTCCTCTGTCCTTGTGCACAGAGAGATACGATGACACTGTCAGAACAAGTCCAAAAGAGCTTTTATTCACAAAGTGAAAAGTTGTAGAAAAATGAAAGTTCCGTAATTGGCGTTGTTTTTCTCTTTCCGGGTGGTGCATCTTACAGTTGATGTTGGAGTCATGTGGGCAGTGGGGGAAATTTAGGAAATATAGATAAATAAAATGAACACTAGATAATCATTGTTGATGTTTTGTTACTGATCCCCTAATAATTCTCTGCAGAACATAGACACACAAATGTATTTGTGAGCATATATGTATGGACAAGGGTGATCAGAATATATGCTGAATGTTTAAATTTTTAAAAATTTATTACAGTAAAAGACACATTGTCATCCCCCCCAACACCTGCCCTGGCTCTGATAGCTCTTATCCCATTGTTTTTCTTCTGTCATAAGCAGTTCTGGTAGTCCTCTTTCATGAATGTCTTTACAAGGCCTGATAAAAAATGCAGTGAATGCTGCTGCCAGGTGCCATCCAAGGGAAAGGTGGGCTCATAGAAGCATGACGCTGCAGCTCACCTGCCTTATCACTGGCCCCGGCACCCTGCGGCTGCTGGCTCTTCCCACAGTCAAAATGACCATGAAAGGTCAGCGTTTGGAACTGATTCAGGACACCGAGGCAGCCATGAAAGCACAGTGAAAGACCCAAAAGAGGACCACGAACTGCTTTGGAAAATGGCAAGAACAACGGGATAAGGGTGTCCGAAGTGAGGAGGAGGATTTTGAGGGGGACTGATGGCAATATGTCTTTATGTAATAAATTGTAAAAGTACAAACGGCCACTGTATTTTTTTTATCACATCTCGTGTGTCATTGGTCTCCCTTTTCCTCTCTACACTGCCTTTTGAACATCCTGCCAGTCTGTCGTCTACATTATATTTTACGTGATTGGTTAGTATTTTACTGTGTGAATACACTGTGATTTGCCTCATCTCCAGACCTGAAATGTGATACATCTCCCTAAAGAACTTGTGGCACTGGTGCCAGACAACCCTCTCTTCCCTGCTCTTCCACGGCGTGTCCTGAGTGTTTGTGTCTTGGGCGGACGGGAGGGAACTGCAGCTTCTGGCCCCGTAGCCGAGAGAGCCCCTCCCACTGTGTTACTGTTGGGAAGAGCGGTTCTTGCCTCAGCTGTAAGATTCGCCACTTACCATTAGATGGCGCTAGAAGACGCCTTTGAAATAGTGTTCCTCTGGCCGCCAACCCCAGGAGGAAGACTAGGTTTTCATTGCACCCAGACCCCCCCCGACCCCCCCCCCCCGCGCACACTTGAAACAAAACTGGCATGAAACAGCCCTGGCCCTCACCATGTGGGATGCTTGCTGATAGTCTGATTTACTCTGGTCTCTTTCGTGTTAGGGTATTGTAGGTCACAACTCACTGTTTGAAGAAGACTTAGGTAACTGAGCACGTGCAGTTATAAAACTCTGAGTGTGCTGTTGTCCTCCCAGCAGTATGGACTCACTAGCAAATCCTGTCTCTCGGTGCGTTTTAAACTTTTCTCTGTTGAGTTGCCCGGTTGGATAGCCGAGCCCATGTGCCCCTCATGAGCGTCTGCAGAGGTACGCACATAGATGAGAGACTGCCACAGGAACGTCCGTACACAGTGCGGTGCTGACTGTAGCAAGAAAAGAGGGAGTGGGGCACGATGGCTCAGGCCTATAGTCTCAGCACTTTGGAAGGCTGAGGCAGGAGGATCACAAGTTCTAGCTCTCCCCAGGCAACTTTGTGACTTAGACCCTCTCTCAAGATAAACAATAGTGCTGTGAAGTAGCTCGGTGGAAAGGCCCTAGATTCAATCTCCAGTACCAAAAAGCAAATATGTAATTCACTTTTGGGAGCTTGGAATCTAGCTGGGAGCTGTAACACGCCCTGCCCCTTAAATTTCAGCTTTGCTATTCAGGACATGGAAATGGAGGCGAGACTCAGGCAGCAGGACGATGTAGGCTGTGAGTGACTGAAGCCTGAGTGGTGAGGACACTCGGTGTTTCATAAACTGCACGCTTAGAGGGAGAGCAGGCTGCAGGCCCCAGCAGCTTAGCTGGCCTTAGGGATCCAGGTCCTTGTCGTGACTCTGAGTTGTACTAAGCCTGGGTCTTCTAGTGGTTGCCAGGAGGCATTCAGTGGCAGCCGTGGTGTCCGATCCCGGGCACAGAACACGGGAGCTTTACTTCTTGCAGTGTAGACCCAGGTGGCAAGCATGGAGGCTGTCATGATTTTCGAGTTGTAATTGTTTCGCTTACTTGTTGCTGTTTCTGCACTGTGATCTCTAAGGAAGTGTAATGAGTGGCTTTGGGAGAAATCCTTAACGTCAGTCGGTGATATTCTTGGGGTTGAGTAGTTTCCTGACCAGGTGTAGCCAGTGAGTTTGCTGAGTGAACAGGTAGATGGTCACAGGCGTTCTCTAGAAGTGTGCGGTGAGATTGTTAGGTGTTTGGGGCCCTGGGAAGGAAACTGGCACTATGAAGAGGGGAGACGCAATTGTGGTGGGCAGTGTGTCGGGCAGTGCCATGTGAGTGTGAGGATGGACCGGCAGGTCTGTGTGTAGGTGCAGCGGAGCCAGGTGCACTGGTGCGTGCGTGGGACTCCAGCACTCCAGGAGGCTGAAGTAGGAGGGTCGCAAGCCTGAGTCCAGCCTAGGCAACTTAGTGAGACCTTAGTGAGTCTCAAAAATGGTCTGGGGATGCAGCTCAATGTGAGGGTGCTGGGTGCAACCTCAGTCCCCAGAGTTAGCAGTATATTCCCTGTGTATGTATTGGCCTTCTGAGGACGTGAGTCTTCCTCTGGATCCTCGGCCTGGTTCCTGTGAACTTGGCAGTGGAGCCTGTGCCCAAACCTGCTAATCCCTACTTCCTGGCCGCTTTTCATCTCTTTCAGGTATGCAGTCAGCATTGGCTACTGGCACGACCCCTACATCGAGCACCTCGTGAGACTGTCTAAAGAGAGGAAGGCCCCCGAAATCAACCGAGGCAAGCAACTCTCCTCCCAGCTCCTGTCGGCCACCGAGAGGCCCAAGTGGATGGGACCCTCACACAGGGGTTTCCCGCGGGCACTCTTGGAGCAGAATATGAGAAGTCTCTTTCCTAATTACCAGCATGATGTACTGTGAAACTTTTTAATCTTTACTAATATGATACATGAAAAATGATGTGTTATTGAAATTCATTGTATCATCCTCTTACTTGTATGTGAAGTTGAATGTCATTTTCCTATTTTCAAAACTCACTCATGCCCAAGTGTGGTGGCGCATGCCTGTGATCCCAGCACTCGGGAGGCTGAGGCAGGAAGGTCGCCAAGAGTTGGAGGCCAGCCTGAGCTACATAGTGAGTTCAAGGCCAGCCTGAACTGCATAGTGAGACCCTGTCAAAAAACCAGCCCCCCCCCCCAACCCCCCAAAACCAGAAACAAACAAAAAAAACTTCACTTATGTGTCATTTATTGTGAACTGCTTGTGTCTGGGTTTATTTTTTGTTTCCTTGTTATAATGTTAGCACCATTATTGACTAGTTTCCATCTCGGAAGTCCAAGGATTTGAGGCAAGAGCATGATTCTCCTCAGCTCCATTGAGAGATGGACTGGAGGGCCACGGTCCTTTTGTCTACAGGGAATCTCGGCCCCTAAAGTAGGGTCCTGTGTCTAGGTTCTAAAAGAAATGCAAAGAAATTTTAAAAGCAGTGGGTCTTGAGATAAGAAGACATTCTTTTACTTAGGGTTCTCTCCCATGGTCTCTAGACAGATTTTCTAACAAATGCTGCAGAACGAGGCACACCTTATAGTGGCTGGCTCTGGTGGGGAGGCTTCATAAGGGTGGGCGAGTGACGGCTTGTTTCTCTTGCCCTCTCTAAGGATATTTTGCCCGAGTCCAGGGTGTCAGCCAGCTCACAAAAGCTTTCCTCCGGAAGACAGAATGTCATTGTCAGATTCTCAACCTTGGGGCTGGGATGGATACCACCTTCTGGAAGTTAAAGGTAAGTTCTTACCTCCCCAATTGCTTCTGCTTCACTTTTTAAAGATATTTACTGGGTTCAAAATTCTAAAAACGTGCTGAAAGGTATGCATGGATGCTCTGTCTCCCACCCCGTCCCCACTGCCTTGATGCTCCACAGTCACCATCTGTCCCCTGTTTTCAGCTCCCTAGGGCCCTGGTAAGATTAGGCTGTTCCTAATTGTTGTTGTTCTAAGTGGAATTATAGTAAGAATCCATGTATTTCCTTCTATACATGTGGAGATATTAGGAGAAAAATTCTACCAGTAGAGGTATTGGGATGAAGAACCCGCATGTAAGGGTTGGGGATTTAGCTCAGTGGTTTCGCCGCCTGCTGTGCAGGCGCAAGGACCCGAGTTCGATCCCCGGTACCAAAAAAAAAAAAACCCTTGCATTTGTAGTTTTGACAGTATCTATAGTCTGTTGTCCACCAAATAGCATGTTGGATAAAATTCAGAGATTTGCAAGTCTGAGGGCTGATATGAAGCAAGTCCTTGTGTGATTCCCTCTGGCTGGACCTGTGACTTCCCCAGCAGGTGTGAGAGCAGCTCTGATCGCTCACACTCGGGGGGAAGTAAATGTGGTTCGGGGCAGTGGCAAGACCAGGGCGAAAGTGCGCTCTTTGACTCCCAGGCTCGGTTTTTATTGCTAAACCTTTGCCCTACAGCGGTCTCCCTGATTGCATTTTCTTTTTTTATTTTTATTTTTATTTTTTATTTTTTATTTTTTGGTACTGGGGATCGAACTCGTCATTTTCTTTTTTGTAGGTTTGTGCAGATTTTTCTTGTTTTCCCTGTGAGGTCCATCATGTGGCAGTAATAGGATGTACATGTCCCCAGGTTTCTTGCAGGCACAGACCAAGGTAAATGAGAGTGTATGGACATAGCCCGACCTGCAAGGCTGTTTTGTCCCTAGTCAGCTGGCCTGATAAGGATGTCTTTGGTCATCAACATTCCCAGCCTCCTTGTTCCTCACATGAGAGGCCAGTGGCCTCAGCATGGTCTTGGTGTTCAGTGTTTGCTCTGCATTCTTCTCTTAGCATAACTCGCTTTTACGAGATGCCTTGGTGTGCATGACCCCAGGCGTCACCTGAGAGCGGGAGAGGGTGCAGGAAGTGGGCTGTGTCCATGATCCCGCAGACCCTGAGCCTGGAACAGGGACACACATCGGAAGCAGCTGTCAGTCCCCAGATCCTGCCCTCTTTACATATGGCCCCTGTAGGTTTTGGGGAGCACTGTGTTTCTGCCTCTTTTGTAGACCTGTTGTGTCCTTGTGATGCAGTGTCTCATGGTGCAGTGTAAGGACCTGGACAGATTCTGTGCAGAGGATGTACTATGTCATGTTGACAGGGGCCACGGAGAAATCTCTTCACTGGACCTGAGACCCCTGATCACATGATTTGTCTTTTCTCTCTGTAGGTGGGTTAATAATTAATAAATATGACATTTTAATTTCTGAGCCTTGTACATTGAGATTAATGTACCTTGTCCAAGAAAAAAAAATCATCTTATCAGTAATGAGGAAGGAAAATTGTAGTGTCTAAAAGTCCTTTGTGGAAATTTTTATTTTTGATTGATAACTGTGTTGGTCTGAAACATTTTTCTTTCCTTGTCAGGGAGAAGGGGATCCCACGCTCCTTTCTAAATATTTATAGATTTTTTTCTTGTCTGTTCTTTTAGAGCAGAAATTGCAAACTATAGGCCATGGGCCAAATCTGGCCCACCACCTGTTCTTTTTTTGGTACCGGGGATCGAACTCAGGACCGTGCGCTTGTGAAGCAGGCGATGGAACCTCAGAGCTAAATCCCTGGCCCCCACCTTTTTTTTGTAAATAAAGTTTTATTGGAACACAGCCATTTCCATTTGTTTGAATATTTTGCTTTAGCAGCCCTATGACAATGATGACAGCAGAGCTGAGTAGTTACAATACTTATTTTCTGGCTCTTTGCAGAAAATGTTTGCCGATTTCTGTTTTAGAGATACCTGTGTTTTTATAAAAGTGTAGGGAGACTAAAAAGAAAAGATGTATGGGGAGAGCTTTGTCCATGACCTTACTGCGTCGGGTGCCGTCCAGCTGGGCAGTTCCCTCCTTGTGCCTGCAGCAGTTTCATTGTGAGTCTCGGGCTTTCTGTTGCCACTGCTGTGTGAACTCCTTCTGTATAATCTCAGGAAGCCGAGACTTGTATGTTTAGCGATTCCCATCTGTAGGCAAGCTGGTGTCCTCACCAAAAGGAATAAGGGGTAAATGAAATCATTTAAGGTGCCTCAGCTGCTTCCCTTTATTTTATTTTTTGGTATTGGGGCTCAAACTCGGGTCCCTGTGCTTGCAAGGCAGGTGGCGGAACCACTGAGCTGACTCCCTGGCCCTCTTCCTTTTATTTTTTGAGACAGCTGTGTAGCTGAGACTGACCTCGAACTTGCAGTCACCCTCCTGCCTCAGCTTCCCCAGTGCTGGGATTACAGGTGTGCGCCACTCTGCTTGGCATGCCTCAGCTTCTCGCTGTTTCCTGCGTCCTGTTTCCACACAAAGGAGCAGCTGTGTAGGGGAGCAGCCTGAACTAGTGAGCCCTGTGGGGCCCTCTGTCTGAACAGCGCTCTGTGACTGGCCGCCCTGTGCCCATCAGCTGGCCGGTCTCGGGGCACACAAACTCTGGAAGAGGAATGTCAGAGGCCACAGAGAATCACAGTGTCACAATCTGGGGCATCACTTGCCAATGCCATTTCCCCCTTTTTCAGAGCCGAGAAGGAAGCTGTTTCCTAAAAGCTCCGAATTCTCAGGAGGCTCAGTGAGCAAGGGCCTGGGCCAGCTCTTGAATGAAGAGGCCATTCTGTAAGAGGTGGAGGGCGCTCTGCTGTTCTCTGCACTTGCTTTTCACTGTTTTCGTTTGCTGGAGTTTGAGGTGACCTTAACTTCCCATACCCTGTGAGTGCTAGGGATGGGGCCCAGGGCTCCTTGAGTGCTAGGTAAGCACCCATCCCTGAGCTGCACCCCAGCAGTAGGACTGTTGCTTTGTACCTGGGGGTACCTTTGTACCTGATTTTACCTTTGTACCTGATTAACCCTGCGGCTTCACGCATGCTGTGTGTGCTCTGCCAGACACACCCTCAGCCTCCAGGAGACATGCTTACGCAGTCTCTTAGGTTTTCTAGCAGAAGTTACTTCCGTGTCCTTCCACTCGTGTCCGCCAAATCTTCCCGGAGCTCCTACTGAGCCCACTGCTGCAGGCTCTGGGTATATGCTGTGCCTTTACGTGTGGCTGGGTGAGAGCCTTAAGCCCAGGTCTCCCCGAATGTAGCAGGAAACTGTCTTTTTTTTCCAGAAAAGTAAGCCCCAGGCTAGACCCCTGGGGTTTCAGTCTCCTTGTGGGGGCATAGTTGGATCTTAACCACCTACTGTTTGCTCTTGAGGATTGCTTTCCTGCCAGGAAATGGTCGCTGTGATTTCTGCCCCTCTTCTGCTCTCCTTGGGGCATCCGCCCCAGCTGAGTGTCCCCCTGCCCCTCCATACTTGGTCTCCACTTCTTGTCATCGTCTACTAAACGCTTCTGTTCTGTACTCAGTTGCTCTGGTCGGAACCAAGGGTGTCCCCTTACCTCTCCTGCTCCTTCACATCCTACACCAGCGAAGCGGTCAGCAGGGTCAGGCTGCCCGTGGTTTCCATTTTCTTTCTTTCTGTATTTCTGGGACATAAATACAGCTGGGAAGTGCAGCATGACAGGCTCGCTGAGGAGAGGCTGGGCCTTGAGTCTTGCAAAGGCTTGCTTAGAGGTGCAGAGGGTCGCTGGAGGTGATGTGTGGTGTGTAGCTGAAAGACAGCATAGGTGGCTGTTGGCCCAGCCTGGGTTGAGGTGACAGGATGCGAGGTGACAGAGGGGGAGTGGATGGGTCTGGGACGCATCAGCAGGGCTGAGTGAGTGAGCGAGTGAGCGATGGAATCATGGGTAGGATGGAAAGAAGGCTCAGATGACCAGTGGGTTTTTGGTTGTTGCATGGAGGTTATAGCCACCAACCACATAGGAAAAGCACAGAGGGAAGAGAGAGAAGCAGGTGTGTGTGTGTGTGTGTGTGTGTATGTTTCACTGCAGCCCACAGTGAGGAATAACTGTTGCATCCAGAGCTAGGACCCATACCTCTGCACCTGTGTCTGTAAACAAAGAAGGCACAGACGGGATATTCCTGGGGTCGGTCCCCTTCTGAGTGCCTGGTGGGCTACCTCCTTAATCCTCACAGCCCGTGCGATCACACTATCTTCTCCGCTTTGTAAACGAAGACCCCTTATCCCAGTGAGTTGAGTGATTCTCCAGGGCCTCACAGTGGAGCTGGGATTGGATGCTGCCCGGTGGCTCCACGCTGCCTTTTGTTCGCCACATCACTGCTGCACTGTAACAGAAAGACCGTCGAAAAGAAATACTGACCATCACTATGCGTGGTACTTTCTCAGAGTAGCTGTTTTACATTATTTCACCCTGAAAATGCTGCTCAAAACTCATCCTAGCGATTCCCTGACCCTCTAATTTGTCTCAAGCTGCTTTTGGAATACTGTGTATAAGGTGTGATAAAAAATACAGGGAGTATTTAATGTTTTAAAAGAGTTTATTATAGTAAAAAGCACATTGCCGTTAATCGCTCTAAAAATACTCGCTGTCTTTGGAAACTTGTCACATCATGCTTGCCACTTCCTGAAGCAGTTCTGGAAGTCCTCTTGCGTGAGTGTCTGTATTTGTGCTTCGTGGCTGCCTTGATGTGCTGGATTCATTCAAAACATTTACCTTTCATGCTCATTTTGGCTTTCGGAAAGGCCAGAAGTCATCCAGTGTGAGAACCAAGGAATACGGTAGCTGAGGACGCACTGTAGTATCATAAGCCTGCCTTTCCATTGGATGGCACTCGGCAGCAGCATTCATTGTCTTTTTGTTCACACTTTGTCAAGACACCCACAAAAGAGGACTTCCAGAATTGCTTCAGAGAAAGGCAAGAACAATGCGATATGTGTGTTTGAAGTGGGGGCAGGTTAAGGGAGATTAATGGCTTTGTGTCTTTTTTTTTTTTTTTTTTTTTGAGACAGGCTCTCACTGTGCAGTCCAGGCTGGCCTTGAACTCACTATGTAGCCCAGGGTGGCCTCGAACTCGCAGCAGTCCTCCTGCCTCAGCCTCCCGAGGGCTGGGATTACACTCTCATGTGCCTCCACGCCTGGCTGTGTCTTTAACTGTAATAAATTATTTTTATTTAAGCACACATGGTATTTTTTGATCACCCCTTGTATGTTCTGCTTCCCAGGTGTCTTGCATCTCCCTCACCTCTATCCTAGTCACCCTGTTTCTAATTCCAGCTCCCCGAACCTTTTAACCTGAATGACTGCAGACGCCTCCTAACTTTTCCACTGTATCCATTCTTGCTGAGACCAAAATAACTTGAAAAATACATCTCTGACTGGATGACTTAAAATCCTTGGAAGCCCCCATTGCTGTTAAGCGTGTAGTCCTTAATACCTGGAACATGGTCTGTAGGTTGTGAGTGAAGAACTGACTTTAGGGATTCTTTCCCCCAGGACGAAGATCTTCTCCCAAGTAAATATTTTGAAGTTGACTTTCCAATGATCGTCACGCGAAAGCTGCACAACATCAAGTAAGTGTTGCTGGACTGGAGGAAGAGCGGCCAGGCAGGGTTGAGAGCCTGGTCAGTCGCGGTCTCGCTAGGTGGCAGTTTGAATGCTGGCGACCTCGTTTCGGGGCAGGTCTTTCCTTCGGGCCCTTCCCGTTCCTTTCTTTACCATGCAGCATGTGTGACTCGTCCAGCTGTTAATGTGGCTTCTCTGAACATTCAGAGGGTAACTTGTCATAGTTGAATAATCTGAAATTTTATGTGCATTTTGTTTACTTCTCTATCCCCAGGGCATAGAAAGTAACCCGGCCCAGGAGATAGGTGCAGGAATTTTTGTGTGTGCGATTGAATATATAAGAAGGTAGTGTAGCCATTCTGAGTCCAGTCTTCAAGGAGTTGTTGGTTGTAGATGACAGGTTTGCTAATCTTTGCTGAGAGCCTTTGCTTCTTTATTTTTGTTCTTGCTTTTTGAGACAGCGTCTCACTGTGTGTCCCAAGCTGGCCTCAAACTCACAGTGATCCCCTGCCTCAGCCTCCACGTGTGCCCCCTGGCCTGGCTGCTGACAGCTCCTCTTTGCGGGGACCCTGTTAAGGGCTTCCCTTGGGCTGCCTTACCCCGTTCTCATAGCAGATTGCGGATTAAGTGCTATTCCTGCCTCGTGCAGAGGGGGAATCAGTCTTAGGCTCAGAGGAGTTCATTTTGCTGAAGATCACCACCTAGGAAGAGTGGAGCTGAGCTTTAAGTCCTGGCTCAAACCCTTGGTCATGGCTTTTCAATAGTTTTTATTACATCTCTTACCACTGCCCCCCTAAATTAGCGTAATTAAATTCTAATTCTTATGTTTGAAAAAGATTAACAGATATAAGTTTTAGCTGGTGCTTTAAAGATGCCTAATTTTTACGAGTTGGAAATATTTTTCAAGCTTTATTCCTTGTAGTCTGTACTATGAAAACAAGTTTTTCACTTTTTCCTAATATAAATTATATCTTCTATTAAATATCCTTTTTTTTTTTGGTACTGGGGATCGAACTCGGGTCCTTGAGCTTGCGCAGCAGGCCGCGAAACCACTGAGCTAAATCCCTGGCCCAGAACGATTTTTTTTTTTTGGTACCGGGGATCAAACTCGGGTCCTTGCGCTTGTAAATATCCTTTTTAAAATTAAAAAAGGGCAAATTCTGATGCCTTTGGAACTGCAGAGTATTACTAAGCTGGGAGTTTTGAGTGGAGTAGGAATGAGTGGGCACTGAATTAATCTCTGAGATGATTTCCTGGGAAGAAAAATGGATCGATATTTGTGTGTGGTTGTTGAGATACTGAATTTGTTCCCCAATTTCTGATTTTTTTCATTTGTGGGATTAAGGAAGTTGTCATATAAGTGTTACTAAATTTTTGGTTTAAGAATCAATCCTTGCTGGACGTGGTTGCACAGGCCTATAATCCCAGCACTCGGGAGGCTGAGGCAGGAGGATTGCTGTGAGTTCGAGGCCAGCCTGGGCTGCATAGTGGGTTCAAGGCCAGCCTGAACTGTCCAGCCAGATCCTGAATCTTTGGGGTAACTTATGACAAAGCACAGCTGTTTAAAAATTTTTGTTTGAGAATAAGCAAGAAACTAGAGATGGCCTGAAAACATAGAAAATTCTTGTTAGGCTGTCTTTAGCTGCTTCTGAGTTGATTCACTTCATGATTAGTATGTCATTTGGACATCAGATGCTGAGCATAATGCTGAGCTGACCTGACCTGAGATGTGTACCTACTGAATTTTGACTATGTGTGTGTAGAGTCAAATGTAATTATTTTAAAAACAGTAGCAATGTATACAGGTTGAACTTCCCTACTCCAAAATATGAAATCCAAAATGCTTGAATCTGGACTCTTTTGAGCATCATGTCGGGTTAGGGTTGCTCACCTGGTAAACTTGTGCAGATGTCCCAAGTCTGAATATTTGGAACCTGGAAAATTTTCGGTCCCGAGCATTACAGACCAGGAATACTCATCCTGTTACTTGCCGTTTCTGAAGTGGGCACTGGCATTTCGGAAATAAATGAGCTCATGAGTAAATGACTTTTTTTCTCCTCTTGCCACAGAAACAAGCCTGCTCTAGCCAAACCCATTGTAGAGCTGCATTCAGAGGACACACTTGCAATGAGTGAGTGCACAGCGTGGTCATCCAGATGGTCTCGCTTTCTTTTCCTCTTGAAAGATGTGTGTGTCGTGTTATACAACAAATACTTTTTCCTGCTATGTTTATGCTTCTATCCTATGAAGGAATTTTTAAATCACTGTTCTCTGTTTTAAAATTTTTTTTTAGTTTTATTTTTTATCAGTACACATTGGCATTATGTGATGATTTCATCCCTGTGGGGAGTTGGTACATGGACATAGCAAGTCTCAGTTCTTTTCTTCATCCCCTTTTCCTCCCCTTACTTCCCACCACCTCCATCTCCATCCCTTTCCCATTTGAAAAACATCTCTCTACTTCCTGTTATCTACTTTTTAGTTTGCTCTTTATATTTTGAGTTTCTCATGGAACTTCTGTGGGACTATTCTTAGGTGTTCTTAGGCCTCCAATCTTAAATTTTTTATTAATGAATTTGAATTAGTCACCAGTATTTCAAAGCCAGATTTCGCATGAGAATCTCGGTGTTCAGCTTTTCTTGGGAAAATCTACTGGTAGCATTAGAACCACATGGTTCTAATCAGTAATCAGTAATGATGCTCGCTCAGTGGAGCCTGCCTGCTGCCTGTCACCACCCCGTCTGTCTCTTGTCTCACACTGACCTGCCCCCGTATGTTACCTGTCCTCTGCTTGGGCTCCCAGCGCCTGAGGGTCCTAGGAATTTCTTTTTCTTTTTTTTTTTTTTGGTGCCGGGGATCGAACTCGGGTCCTTGCACTTGCGCAGCAGACAGCGAAACCACTGAGCTAAATTCCTGGCCGCGATCCTAGGAATTTCTTCACAGTGCCCTAGATTCCTGCAGTCAGTATTCTGCCCAGCATTTAATTATGAATGTTTGTAACAAGACTTTCTTCATTTCTGAGCTTTCCAAATTTTGTTTAAAAAAATCTTTCATTGTGTTCAGTTTGTGTGAGAGAAATTCCAGGGATGAATATTCCTTCCCATCAGAAAGCATGGTCAGAGAGGGTGGCCTTCCTAGATGGGCCACACAGATAACACAGTCCAGGGCAGGCAGAGAGATAAGTCTAGGCACAACCGTGATGCTGTCATCGCTCTTCTGGTAATTAGAATCCAGTAAGTCTGCACGGGAAATATCTTCCTTGGCCTATGGAGAAAAAAGGCCAAATTATCAATAGTACTTATTCAAGTTTGGCCTCTTGCTGGGCTGTTTGCTTCCTCTCCACTTTTGCTGTTACAGTTTTCTAAATACTTGGTTGTCAGCATCATGATCTATAGTGTAGGCTTTAATAGAAGTAGCAAGTAAAGAGCCTCCATAGTCCTGCCCATCAGATAACCTGTGTTCAGAGTGTTTTCTCACGACGCATTGGCAGCTGGAGGAAGGTAAATAGATGCACAGATAAGATAATATGTCACCCTAGTGCCTGACATATAAAAGGTTCAGTGAATTCTTATTGAATAAACTGTATGCATATTGAATAAATATACATTGTAGTTCTTTCTCTCTCTATGTCTGTGTATACATATCTATTGAATGAATAAGTCTCTAGTCATATACATATATTTAATGCAGTTTTAATAAGCAGTGAATAATTTGTCCACATTGTTTTGTAACATTTTACATCCTAATAAATCATGACCATCTTTCAATGTCAGTATCAATCTCTTATTATTTTTAATAGCTTTATGGTACTTCTTTGCATGCACATTTCATTAATGTGTTCCCTGTTGATGGAACTTTAAATTGCTGCCTTAATGGTTTCATATTAAACAGTGTCGTACCAAATATATATATATGCACATGTTTTTAGAAATTGCTACTTCAAAGAATTGCACATTATGAATTCTAATAGATATGACAAACTGCTTTCACTTCTCTTTTTATTAGCTTATGTTTTTCAGTAGAGTTGGTAAGGATTCTTTTCCCTATATCCATAACTGGCTATGATCATTTAAAAAATTTCTACAATCTGACGGGCTGAAATGTTGTCCTGTTATTTAAAAAATTTATATAACTTTGCTAGTGAAAATGGATTGTTTCCTTAGTTTTATTGTCCTTTAAGTCTTCTTTGTAAATGTTTGTTTCATTTGCTTTGTCTGTTTTTTAGTTGAATTTCCTCCTTTTTAAAAAAATTTATAGAATAAAAATATGTGCAGGATAAAAATGTTTAAAGTGGGCTGGGGATTTAGCTCAGTGGTGCCGCCGCCTGCCTCACAAGCGCAAGGTCCCGAGTTTGATCCCTGGTACCAAAAAAAAATGTTAAAAGTATACAAATGGGCTTGTATTGGAAAGTATGTTAGAATAAAGTTTGAAAGGAAATCGGGTTCTGTTACCTCCCTCCTTAGAGCTTCCTGCTGGGTTAGACCACGTGGCCTCCCTTCAGGCCTGCTGTGTGTGTTCTCGCCCACCGTAGCGCTGGTCCAGACACACTGGCCTCCTGCTGTCCTCTGCATGGGCAAGGCCAGGGTTTCCCTTTGCACCTGTTCCCTCTATCAGGGTGTAGTTAGGACTCTTTAAAGGTTCTTTCTCATGGTGCTGGGGATGAACCCAGGGCCCACTTGAGCTGGGCTGTCAGTGAGCTGAGGAAGCACTACCACCAAACTACCGTCCTTAGCCCCTTTAAAAAATTTTTGATGTAGAGTCTTGTTAAGTTTCCCAGGCTGGCTTCGAACGTGCCTCATCCTTACTCAAAAATTCTTAACAATGGACTACTGACCAGTGATCTGAGTTTCTGCACGTCACTTTAACAGAGCTTCTCACTGCCGGCCCTGTGGACAAGTGGGGCCAGATCCTCTGCTGGGGCTGTCCCGCACGAGGCAGGCTGTCTGGCAGCAGCCTGGGGCCCTGACCACTGGTTGCCACCGGCACACTCTCCGTTGTGTCTTCAGACCTTGCCAGATGTTCCCAAGTGGCCAAGCTGCCCTTCCCGGGAACTGCTGTTTAGCTGCAGGGTGACCAACCTTATATAATTGGGATTTTCATAGCTGTCTTTTCATTCTGGCCATATATAAATTAGTTCTTAATTTTGAGAACCTTATTATGGTATTATATTCTCAGGGCTTCTTCTCCTTCTTAAACGGTCTTAGAAATTAGTCCTCTAAAGAAGTATTCATCACAGAAAGAACTACTACTAGCAATACAGAGGTTAGAAATCAGTTTGTCTAGGCCAGGAATTTAGCTCCATGGTTCCGGTGCCTGCCTCGCAAGTGCAAGGTCCCGAGTTCCATCCCCCATACCAAAAAAAAAAAAAAAATCAATTTGTCTGCCTTCCCAGGATTTGAGTATGTCCATTCCTAAGAAAAGGAAGGGATTATGGTTCTCCTGTTGATGAGAAGTTATTTTTCTGGCCAGTCCTCAGGAGCAATCTAATGTACAAGGTTTTTCTGTTGCTCCCATGGTCTGTGGCGAGTGCTAAATTTCATTAAAAATGGCATATTTTCCCAGAATGTCCAAACTCCTCGGGAACACGCTCTGAGCCCGTGTCTTCCATGGATACACTGCATTTCCTGTGGAATGATAAGGTGTTCTCTGAGGACGGACAGTGGGCCTCTTGTTCCTAAGCAGCCCGGGTAGCCCAACTAGGGAGGAGCAGCTGAACCCTGAACCGTGATGGAGGTGGTGTGGTGTTAATCCAGCCCTCAGTTCTGTCAGCTGAAGGGCTTCAGGGTCTTCTCTTCCGGAGCTTTCCACTTCCTGTTTGCTCCTTGTCATGGGCCAGGTTTTCGTCGGCCCCAAGTCACTGTCCACTCAAGCCTGCTGTACTTTTTGCTCCAGTGTAGGATTAATCACGAGGCTGTGAGACTGTTGCTGTCCACGCTAACCTCGGACCCTAACCCCAGTACGATGACACCTCCCCGAGCTAGTTGGTCACCACGTATCCACTACTGTTCTGCAGAAAACTGCTAGGGATCTGCAGGCTTCAAAATTCTGGTGGATGGTTTTGTTTGTTTTTTGTTTTGTTTGCTTGGGTTTTCTGGTCAGGAGTGGAAAAACACATTTGAGATGTGTACTATTAATATTTGGTTTTTTTGTGAAAAGATACACAGACATGTGGAAATTGTTTGTTTTCATAATAGTGGCCTCATCTACTTTGTATTATTTTCCTGACTTGGGCATTGTGGCACCCCAGGGCAGATTGAGGGTTCCCTCTTGGCCCTTTTTTGCTTTCTTAACATCTAAGAGGCTCCTCAGACGTACTTGTTTTAGCTTACAGTGTGTGGCCAGATAGATGGGTTTGAATGAGCCGAATCCGCTGAATGGGTAAATGAAGACTGTAAGGGAGAACCTACTTACAGGTTGTGGTTTAGCATTTTCAGTGTATTTTTTTTTTTTTTTGGTGGCACAGGGATTGACCCCAGGACCTTGCACTGAGCTATGTCTCCAGCCCCCTACCCCCTTTTCTTTTGGTACCGGGGATTGATCTTGGGACCTTGTGCTTGGGAGGCAGGCGGTGGAACCACTGAGCTAAATCCCTGGCCCCTTGGCCCTTTTTCATATTTTTAAATTTTTATTTTATTGTTAGATATTTTTGAAACAGGGTCTTACTACATAATTCAGACTGGTGTTTCTTTTTCCTGGCTCAAGGTTCTTCGAGTCAAGAGGACCTGAATTATTAACAATGATATGTTCTGACCCCCAGCCCTGTGGTCTGTGCCATTGACAAAACTGAGAATAATGCCTACAGTAAATATTCAAACCATGTTTTTCTGTTCACGTTGCAAACATGTACAAAAAGAAAAAATCAAGGAAAGGATGAAGGGATGGGTGGAGGAGGGGAGGGAAATGGGATGAAAAGACAGTTAAGGTTCCTGTGCACACGTGCCAGCTGCCCGTAAGGAGTTAGGCACTGTGCACTTCACAGTTGTACTGATTTGAAAAAAAAAGGAAGAAAAAAATAACTGAAAAAGAATTGCAAGCATGCACACATGTGTTGCAAGCAGATCGCTGAGCTCCTGTGGACCCCCCTAACTTCATTGCCAGGGTCATTTCAGTTGTACCAGAGCTTCGGAAAGTTCAGTTCCAAACCAGGGACATCAGCAGCACCTGGGATGTGTTGGAGCTGTAAGCATCTGTTCTGGAAAGATCAGGGAGTCTGGAACTCAGGAGGGGCTGTGGGTCTGAGCTCTGGCAGCCCAGCAAGGCCATCGAGATGAATGGCCATCCCGCCCCCGTGCCAGAGGGATTCGTTTTGCAGCAGATGTCATCATGTATTTGCAGATACATTAATTCACAGACTGTTTTCCGTTAGCTGTAACATAATCACGAATTGGTGCAGCTTGAGAGAACTGCCTGCCAGGGCGTACCAGTGTTTAATTAAGTAGGTGTACCCCTTCATCTCTTAATCCCACGCATAGTATTGGACTTTAAAGACGTAACTAGTGTATATGTGATGTTCAATGCAGTGCCTAAGATAGAGAAACTTGCTTGCTTTTTTTTTAAAGCAGGATCTTGCTATGTAGTTGAGCCTGGCCTTGAACTCACTGTGTAACCCAGGCTGGCCTCAAACTTGTGGTGATCCTCCTGTCTTGGCCTCCTGAGGGCTGGGATTCCAGGTGTGTGCCACCATGCCTGGCTTAGAGAAAACTTGGAAATACCACATATCCAATTGTGAGGGATCAGCTAAATAAATTATGTTGCTTTCCACTCAGTGGAATGCTATGAAATCATTCCAGAGATTGATTTTCCTGATGCTACTGTTAAGTAGGAAAAGCAGTTTTCAAAACAGGTTTTAAGTGGTTCAAGATGTGTGTGTGTGTGTGTGTGTGTGTGTGTGTGTACACCCATGTGCAGAGAAAGAGAAAGAAAATGTTTTTTGTGTGTATATGAACTTAAGAACAAAGGAGAAAAGGCTGGAATGTTTTACATCAAAACACTTTGTTGTTTCGTTATCTTTGGAAGATATGATTTGGGTCCCTTTTCACCTTCCTCATACTTGATTTTTTTTAAACAACAGACGTCTTTTTTTAATGGAACAAAACAAAGTTAACCTTGAAAAAGCCGTATCTATTAAAATGATAATCTCATGACTGATTTCCATTGAAATGATAATCTCTTCTTGCATTTGCAGATGGACACATACTAGATTCAAAGAGATATGCCGTTATTGGAGCAGATCTCCGAGACCTACCTGAACTGGAAGAGAAACTAAAGAAATGTAACATGAATACACAGTGAGATTGTTTTTTATCCTCTTGTGTATTTGGGATTTCATGCTAATTATGAGAAGTGCAGTATGATACCCATCTTCCACTTTTATTCTGTAAATTCTGTCATGTCATTGATACCTGTAGTACTTTTGTGAAATTTCAAACAGCACTTTCTCAAGTCTGTTTCCACAGCAATCACCTGTGTCACTTTTGAAAAGATAAGTGCCTAATATCATGAAGTTTGAGAGAAGTTAACCACATGGTTAGAAACGTAATTGTAACATACAGAGTATTAGCATTTACGATACTGTAAAGAATAACTGCTATAAAAATGTCCCAGAGAGGGCCGGGGATTTAGCTCAGTGGCACCACACCTGCCTTGAAAGCGGAACGTCCTGAGTTCAACCCCTGGTACCAAACAGGGGGAAAAAAATCCCATAGAAAAATGAGCGAAAGAGATGGCCAGGCAGCTCTAAGAAGAAACTGAGTGTCGTAAGTTATCAGAATACATCAGATGTGAATATTATATGAGTGTTGATCCTCAGTTGTAATCAGATGCAATCCTCACCCTCTCAGCAGGTTGGCAAAAATGTGTGAGCGTGACAGCATATTGTTGGCAGCGATATGGAGGGCAGGGAATGGGCACACAGCAGTGGTTGTAGCAAGTGGAAGCGAACTTGGTGTACCCATTGTGAGGAACAATCTGGAAGTGTCTAGTAGAAGTGTGAATAGATGTACAGAGAGCACGGCAGCTCTGCCTCTGGACGCGTGCTCTGGAAAGGCCCTTGCTTGTCCGGAGGGTTTCATTGTAGTCACTACAGCTGCAGAAACTTGGCAGGTACCAGTCTTCATCACAGGAGACCGAGTGGATAAAATATAAAATGCATGCCCTAGACCAATGAGGACAGAGCTCAGAAACCTAAGGTTGAGGAAAAAAATCAAGTTGTGCAAGTTTATGCACAGTGTGATACCAAGTACCTAAAGCAAAGCCCTCAAGATACTGTGTTCTTATGACTGCACACTTACATTGCAGAGGTGTTTTGTAAGTGGGCCAGAAGAGTCCACAGTAAGTCCTTGAGAGAAGGCACCCCCGGGAAGAGAGGAGGGTGTTAGTGTAATGATACAGTCAAAATCAGGTTGGAGATAAGAGGCGGAGAGAATTTGAGGTTAGAAGCGCAAGAGGGGGAGGCGTGGTGAGGGGAATACTACTTTAAGGAATAAATTGAAGGCAGAAATCATTAGCAAAAGGTTAAGAAACTAGCAGCATGGGAATCATTGCTAGAACAGAGTCCTGGAGGATGGAGAGCATGGGCGGGGGTTTCTAGCTGTGGCGGAGCGGAGACCCCTGTTCCGAGCAGGATGAAGGAGGAGAAGGACTAAGGACGGACACAAGTACTGGTGACCTCAGGGAGGTGGGAGGAAGAGGGGGTGAAAGCTCATCGTCTTTCTAACTCATCTTTCCTCGGTGCGATTGCTATTGTCTCTACCTGTTGAAGCTCTTGCTTAGCCTAGAATTCCCATCCAGATTGTCCCCGCTGGGGTTTACAGCTTCCTTGTCCAGGGTTAGAGATGGCTCTCGTGGACCATCATTGTCATTGCAGTTTTGTGTCCTGAATCTTGGTCTCACCGAGTGTTCAGAGAGCAGGGTCAGTGCTGCAGCTTGACTAAGTGTTCTCCATACAGGCTGGGTCTCCAGGGATGGTGCTGTTGCCTGGGAGGCAGTGACGCTTTAAGCAGTTGAGCCTAGTGGGAGGGCTTCTGGTCATTGGAGTCTGGGCCAGGGGAAGTTGGGGCTCTGGCCACCCCTCTGTCTTTGCTTCCCTGCATGAGGTGAGCAGTTTCTTCCACCATGTGCTCCTGCCACGATGCTCTGCCTCACCACATCCCGAAGCAATGGAGCCAAGCATTCTTAGAGCGAAAATTCTAACACTATGCCCAAATCAACTATTTTTCTTAATAAGTTGGCTCTCTCAGGTGTTGTTACAGTATGGAGAAATGACAAACAGTCTGTAAAGTAAGTACTCGTGGCTGTTTTTTCCCTTGAGGACCCCATTATACACCTCCTCGATTATAGGGTGTGGCATATTTTTCTTTGGGCTGAATGAGAGTCTTGGTGTTCAAGGACACTGGTTCCCTGAGCGTGTGTTTTTCAGTGCATGTTAGTGTCAGTGATGGGTTGTTTACAGCTGCTTCTCACAGCCGACCGGGCACCCTCTTAGGATCAGGAGAGCATGGCTCTTGGACTCTTATCCTTTGTTTCTGTTTTCTAGGTATTTAACAGGGGCCATTTTACATTTTTTGTTCTTTGAGCTTTGGTTTCTTTATGAATTGGGATTTGAAAACTGTATCACCGTACAGTTTTGAAGATTAAATGAAATAATCCATATGAACATAGTTGATCAGAAAGTAAGTCACATTGAAGTCTAATTTTGGTTGTAGTGGCCTAATTTTGGTTTCTGCAGCTAAGGCGAAGGATCATGGAAATAATCAGCTTTAAATCGGGCTCGCTCTTGATATGGAAATTTACTTTGCTTTTGGAAATCAGCAAAATGACAGAAAAATAAGTACTAGAATTGTATCTCTCATTCTTCCATATGGCTTCATTTGCATTGGGTATTTTACTTTATGGGCTGAGTTTTCTGTGTTTTCTTTCATTTAGGTTTTGGAAAGTATGATTCATATTAACACTAATGACTACCTTTAAATATAATTTTAAAATATTTTAATTTTCAAATAATTCACATATATTAAAGATGAAAATGCCACATTTCCTAAAAGGTCTTCTTTGCCTAGCTTCCTCACATAATATTTTGGGCAATGATAGTTGCCTTTTACATTAAAAAGCTTCTTGTAATCCTCCTGTGTCCACCTCTCAGAGTGCTGGGATCACTGCATGTGCCACCTCTTTGGGTCTTAAAAAGCTTCCTGCAACTGTATTTCTCTAGCTATCAACTTACTAATTGAGGTTTTGGAATATTAGTTTTCACTCATTCACTTACTTTCTCTGAACATTGTTCTCTTAAAATGGAATTCCAACAGGAACATACACCAGGCTGTGACCACAAACAGCTTACTTCACCCCACTGTATCTCAGCGACCTTCTCTGAATACCGAGAATAATGGATCCAACATTAAGTGTTAGTAGTTAGCGATGTTGATAACTATTTTTTTAAATCTGAGAAATGGTATTCATTGCTATAGGTGTAGCTGTTGATAGGTCCTAGGAAAGAAGATAAAAATAATTCCTACTCTCAGTACTTGAAGATCATCATCACCTTGTACATATTATATCAGAATTTGTAAATATGTGTTTTCTTTATAATGTGATCCAGAGAAATTAAATGCATATACCAGTTCACCGAAATGAGCCTCACTGTTCTCCACTACTAAGATGCACTAATAAAAAAATGCAGTCCTGCTACATATACAGTTTTAGGAGTTCTAGAAGAATACACTGTATACTCTACTTTTGCCAGCTGTGAGGACCGTCAGTATTCAGGAGGCAGAGAAGGGGTGGGAATGCAGTAAAGGAGTCAGAGAAGCAGCTTAAATGAACTAGGAGAAGACAGTGGAGTGGGTCTGGGAGTTGTGGGTCGAGAGTCTGCAGGCTTCAGGGGTCCTGCCTTGCTGATCCATGCCGGGTTTGCTGACCTGACCTGCCAATCTGAGTGTCCCTGTGAGCAGAGGGTCTTGACCTCATGAAAATACATTTAGGTGCATTGTTTTCCCCCTCAAGGTTGCCAACACTCCTGATAACTGAATGCGTGCTGATCTACATGACTCCGGAGCAGTCAGCAAACCTCATAAAGTGGGCAGCCAAAACCTTTGAGACAGCCATGTTCATAAACTACGAACAGGTAAGAGGAGGCACAAGACAATTGGATTCTGCACAGGAGGCCAGCGGTGGCTTTCCCTCTGAGCACTCTGAGCATATCCTTCCCTTGTTCTCGAGGCTTTGGCCTTCAAACTGAACTACAGCCCCCGCCGTTTGTATGTATATCAAGACAAGTTCTCACCAAGTTGCCCAGGTGGGGCTTGAACAGGGCAGTACTCCTCGCTCAGCTTCCCAGAGTGCTGGGATTACAGACATGTGACACCATACCCATCCTCTCTCTCTCTCTTTTTTTTTTTTCCTTCTGCCTTGGCTGCTTATGTAACTTCTTTATGAATTGATTCCAACAGTCCTAGCACTCTTGATTTCTCGACCTCTTGTCTAGTGAGAGTTGTGGGAACTTCTGTCTTAGCCTTTATAAGTTTTTGCACTATTTACTATATACAGAGTTATAATGTTATGAAGCGCTTTAACTGCAGTCAGTGTCGGTAGGGAGTGGAGATGCCTTCAGGGCAGGCAGGTGATGCAGACAGAGAAGTGGCCAGGTGTAAGTGGCGTGGTGAGGGGCACTGGGCCCTGGAGCACCCATGCATGCTCATGGGAGAGGCCTCTGCTCAGGCCCCGCCAGGTGGAACCATGCGAACATGAGATCCTACAATTGCGCAAACACCATTTTTTAAGAGAAGTTAGAAATGCAGGATTTTATTTCTGTAGTCACTGAGACTGGCCCAGTTTGCCTCTTCTGGCCCAGTGCAGAACAGGCCCTGCATCGGGCCTTTAGAGAGAGCCAGTTTGGGTGTGAATCCCAGCCCTCGCTCTCATGATTGGTGTGTGACCTTAGACAACTTGGCTCTGTGATTCGGAGTCCATGCTGGGGAAGGGCGTTTCCTAGCTGTGTGACCTGGACGCTGCGCCTGTTTCCTCACCTGAGACGCTAGCAGTCCTTCCTCCGCGGGCCTGTTGTGAGCTGTGAATGGCATGCACTGCATGGTGCTGCGGCTAAGGAAGATCTGTCATTTGTGTTTCTCTAAACCCTAGGTCTCTGTTTTGCAGGAATGATACCTGTGTCTCTGGATGAGTGTAGGAATTCATGAGATACATTCAGCAGTAGGCACATAAGCATGCCAGCTATTATTTACTTTATTTTTGATATTTTTTTATACATGACATTTTAATGAGGTTGGGTTGGATACAAATAAACCTGTATTGGGCTGGGGATTTAGCTCGTTGTTTCCGCTGCCTGGCTTGCAAGCGCACGACACGAGTTCGATCTCTGGTACCAAAAAAAACCCCCCAAAAAACACAACACTATTCTTTACAGAACTGGAGAAAATCATCCTAAAATTAATATGGAACCAGAAGTGACTGAGAATAGCAAAAGCAATCCTGGGTAATAAGAACAAAGCAGTAGGTATCACAATACCAGACTTCAAGTTAACACCGCAAAGCTACTGTGTTAAAAACAGTAGGGGTAGGCCTGGGGATTTAGCTCAGTGGTTCCACCACCTGCCTTGCAAGCGCAAGGACCTGAGTTTGATCCCAGGTACCAAAAAAAAAAAAGCTTAATGTACTTGGGTTTTTTTCTGCATCCCCTATTCCACTGATTCCCATTTCTGTTTTTGTGCCAATACCCATACTGGTTTTTTTTTTTTTGGTACTGGGGATCGAACTCAGGACCTTGCGTTTGCAAGCCAGGCGGCAGAACCACTGAGCTAAATACCTGGCCCCATTAAGCTATTTTGATCTTTGACAAGAAGCCAAAACCTAGGCTGGAGGAAAGAGCCTCTTTAATAATGTTGCTAGGGGGTCGGGGATTTAGCTCAGTGGTTTCGCCGCCTGCTGCGCAAGCGCAAGGACCCAAGTTCAATCCCCAGTACCAAAAAATAATAATAATAATAATGTTGCTAGGAAAACTGGCTATTCACATGCAGATTACATCTGGATCTTTATCTCTCTTCATGTACTAAACCAAAATAAAAATGGATCAAAATTCTAAATATTAAATCAGAAACAAACTGCTAGAAGATAAAATAGGTGCCAGGCATGATGGCGCCTGTCTATAATCCCAGCACTCAGGAGGCTGAAGCAAGAGGACTGCCATGACTTCAAGGCCAGCCTGAGATACATAATAAGTTCAAGACCAGCCTGGACTACATTAGCTGGACTGTGCCTTAAAAACAAATAAAATAAGTAAAACATAGGTGTAGGCAAGGACCTCCTGAACAGAATTCCAATTGGACAAAAAATAACATCAAAAGTCAACAGATGGGATCATATCAAATTAAAAACCTTCTACACAGCAAAGAAAACAATCAACGGAGTAAAGAGACAACTTACAGAGTGGGAAACATATTTTGCCAGCCACGTCACGGACAGGGAACTAGTATCTAGAATCCATAAAGGACTAAAAAACTTTAGACCCCCCCCCCCCAGTATAAAAGACCCAGTCAAAAGATGGGCAGGTGAAATGAGCAGATTCTTCTCAGAAGAAGTGCAGACAGCTAAACACAAATGTTCAGCATTGCTGGCCATTAGAGAAATGAGGTTGAAACAACACTGAGATTCTATCTACTGCAGAAGTGACGAGGACGATCATCAAGAAATCACGTAAGCACAAATGCTGGTGAGGCTGCGGGGGAGCAGGAATCCTTCTGCATTGGTGGTGGGAGTGTAAGCTAGTACATAGCTAGCATGTGGAGAAACCACAAAACTAGAAATTGCGTTTGACCCAGCTATTCCCTTTCTCAGTACCTTCTGGAAAGAGTTAAAGGCAGCATTGTGATACGTGCACACCCATGTTTATAGCAACACAGTTCATGATAGCTAAATCTTGGAAGTAGCTTGTATGTCCATCAGCAGATGAAAGGATAAAGGAAATGCAGAATATATAGTGCTATAAAAAAGGAAAACAGCTGGACACGGTGGCACAGGCCTGTAATCCCAGCACTCAGGAAGCTGAGGCAGGAGGATTGATGCAAGTTCAAGGCCAGTCTGGGCTACATAGTGAGTTCAAGGCCAATCTGAACCACAGAGTGAGACCCTGTCTCAAAAAAACAAATCAAAAATAAATAGATAAACTTGAGACAATCATAGGTAAACAGATGCACCTTGAGATCATCATGTTAAGTGAAATAGATCAAAGCTTAAATACCACATGGTTTCTCTTATATGAGAAACCCAAAGTATAAATAAATTGCAAAATAAAATACAGATAATAGGGGACAGGGAGATATTTTGCAAAAGGGAAGGAGACCAAGAGATAAAGGGAAGGCAGAGGGAGAAGAGGGGAAGGGGACATAAAAAGAAATGATATGAGGGCCGGGGATTTAGCTCAGTGGCTTCGCTGCTTGCTGCGCAAGCGCAAGGACCCGAGTTCAATCCCCAGTACCAAAAAAAATGATATGTTATGTACCATATACCAACTGCCCACAGTGAATAGAATCATTGCGTACTGCAAACGTGTACAAAGAGACACACAACAAAAAATGTTTCTTCATGTATCATTGTTATTAGTCCCCGTTGGTAACAGAAGAGTGATGTGCATTTTTGGGAATTGGTACTGCATGCAACATATCTTGATCATTTTCAATCCATTTCCCCCTCCTCTTGTGTTCTCCTCGCCTTTCCATGATCCCTTTCCCCCTTTCCAGTAGTCTTTCCTTTATTTTATTCATTTACCTACATTTTAGGTTTGTCATATAAAAGAAACCATGAGATATTAACTTCCTGCGTTTGGATCATTTTACTTGACATGGGCTCCAATTCTATCCACTTTCCTGCAGATGACATGGTTTCGTTCTTTGTGGCTGAATAGTATTCCCCCGTGTGTATACACCGCATTTCTTTTATCCATACATCTGTTAATTAGCATCTAGGCTGTTTCCACAGCTTAACTATTTTGAGCTGTAACATAAGTACACATGTATCCTATAATATGCTGTGTTTAATGGTTTCAGAAATATTCCCAAGAGTGGTATAGCCGGATCAAATGGTATTTCTGTTTTCATTTTTTTTCCACAGTGATTGTACTAGTTTACATCCCCACGGACAATGTAGGAGGGTTCCTTTCCCCCAGTATTTATTACCAGTATTTATTATTTTGTATATTCTTGATGGTAGCTGTTCTGGCTGGGGTAGGCTAGAATCTGAGGGTAGTTCTAATTTGCATTTCCCTAATGGCTAAAGTTGTTGAACAGTTTTTAGTAGACTTATTGGCCATCTGTACTACTTTGTTTGAGAAGTGTCTGTTCACTTCATTTGCTCACTTTTTCATTTGGTTATTTGGTTTTTTTGCAGGGGGGAGATGCTGTTTTGATTTTTGATTTTTTTTTTTTTTGGTATGGGGGATTGGACTCAGGACCTTGCGCTTATGAGGCAGGTGCAGTGCCACTGATTTTTAAATTTTTAATATTCTAGATATTAATCCTCTACTGGAAAACTAGCTAGCAAATTTTTTTCCCTATTCTGTAGGTTGTTTCTTCAATTTTTTTTGAGGTTTAAAATAAGTTTATTAAAGAGTGTTCTCAGGAGGGTGACAACTTTGATTTGTCATTAAGAAAAAAGTTATGTTTCTTCATGCTTTGTAATAAAGATGATGTAAGAGGATAGAGTAATAAGCATTTTCCTGCTAGAATTCTCTGATAGTATAACACAGTGTAGTCATTTATGCAATGTTAGAATAAATTTTTAAAAAGTCTCTTTTATGCTTCTCTTCAAAAAGTGATGAATAACAGGAGATGGCATCTAAAAGCCATTTTTTTTCCATTCATTCTATAGTATTGGAGCCAGTATTTTTACCATCGCACGCTACAGTTTTCACTTTATCCACTTTAATAAGTTCTGTCACCTCTCTGAAATCAACATCGTTCAATACAAAAGTCCACACATTATCGCAGAATCTGTATGTCTTTAGAGAGCCCCTGAAATTGACTGTTCCTGACCCTCTGAGCCAATGCTGAATTTATAGCCTTATCAAACTGAAGTAGAACTTGGAGGGCAAGTTGGGGGGGGTGATCTCTTGAGACT